GCGTTTTCCATGATAGATGCAACCAGAGCCCTTCTGATCTCATCCTCTCTAGATACATCTGCTTCATCTCCACTCGAATCGTGTTCGTCCAAATCTTCTTCCTCTGCCTGACTCTTTTCAGCATTTTCCTCCTCACAGTATAAAATATCTCACCTGGTATAGATCGTTGGCGCGTCTTAGACCTGATGGAACACCGCTAGCACTCGCTCGGCTGGCGGGTCGGCTGTTACTCTTCCTACCCACACTGCCCGGCCTGGGAACCGATCTGGAGCTGTGCTGACTGAAGGGACGCCGTTCAGATCCATTGGGACTGCCATTCCTGGAGAAATTCTGCTTTGCACTCTGCCGTGAACCGGGACGCTGCGAATCGTGAGATGAGAAGATAGTTGAATGATTTACTCTCTGTGAGAGGCTACTCTTGAGGCTGCTGCGTGATGACATGAGGTCCATGTCTATCGTGGGTGTCGGGCCCGCTTCTAATTCATCGGCGAACCTGACGGCCTGTTTAGATGTCATCTCTTCGTTCGAATCTTGGGAGGGATCTCTTGGATCTTCAGTGATCTGCAGATGGTGAGACGGTGGGATATACATTTGATGGTCACCTCTAGGTGGGGAATGTCAGATAGAGGAGCATCTTTGTTTTCATCCAGATCTCCGCTGTCCATGTCTTCGTGATGTTCGTCGGGTACGGTCCACTCTCCGATATCATCATTCTCTTCCTCCCTCTCTGACTTTTGCATATCTCCAGTGGATCTATCTCATTTCAATTTTTTACATCGATTCCATTTCACCTCTGCAATTTGATCGAATGTTGGCTTCTTCTCGACATCTGTGATGTGTGCGATCTCATCGACGATGTAGATGTGACAGAGACAGCTGATTTGATGGAATAGGTTGATTTGACTGAAGTGGACGATTTGACAGAGGTAGCCGATCGGATGGATGCGGCCGATCTGACTGAAGCGGCTGATTTAATTGATGTCGTGGACTTGTTTGATGTTGTAGACCTGACAGACGCCGCTGATCGTAACGAGGATGTTGAATTCCTTAGTGGATTTGGTGCCGATGTATTTGACTTGGGTGTATCTTCACGTTCGTGGGTATCTACATTTTCCTCCACTACCATCAAGTCTGAGTTATTCTCTTCTGGATTCGCTATCTGGGAGGTGGAGCTACGGTGGGATAATTGTCCCATATTCTCGTGTGTCTCAGGCAGGCGATCCTCGCTATCCATTTCTCCAGGATATTCCTCGCTAGGAGGCTGAATCGGTGAAGACTCAGCGTCTGCAGGTCTGACCAATGATCTCCGACTCGCCACGCTGATGTTCGATCCCCTCCTGCTCAAACTTCTCGGTGGCCCGATCTTCTTTTCTCCCTCCGGTCGTGTTCCACTTGCATCTGTCTCCACGGGTGATGGAGAATGTGTGGAGTCTTTCTGGTCATCGTCACGTGACGTCACATCTCCCCTCGTGGGTCCTGCACTTCTCTTCCTCTTGATATCTATCTGTGATAGAGAGCGACGGATGAGACTTCTGCGGGAGAGGGGCGTGGTAGGAGGCAAGTCGTTGACGATGCTCATGATGTCTCGTGTGCTGACGGTGCGATTGGTCAACTTGGCTTCTGAGGGGGGACGAGGGGAAGTTGATTCTCCGATTGGGACGAGACTCTCTTCTTTGGCCTGCGATATTTAAGAATGTGGATGGAGGTGATGATGAAACGAGATCGTGATGGTGATGACGGCCACCTGACGGTATGCATCTGCGACTTCTCGTCGGATCCTCTCTTTGGTCTGTTCGACTCTTCTTCTCTTTTCTGCTGCAACAGATTCTTCTTCTTCCTTCTTGATTCTCTCCTCTTCGGAAGCCATCCAAACCTTCTCCTTCTCTGCTGCCATCTCAATAGCGTGGGTCTGGTTGAATCAGCTGGAATATTAAGATGTTTATCACCTTCTGTTTCTCTAATTTTTCTCTCTGCATCTCTTCCTCTTGTCTAGCCCATTGCAGTTCTTCCTCTTTCTAATGGCTCATCAGATGTCTCTGACTTCATCACGTTGTGTCTCACCTTTCTCTCGGCCACTGCTTCTTTCTCCCTCTGTCTCTGTTCAAAATTTTCTCTCATCTGTGCTCGTGACTGTGCTGCCCTTTGCTCTGCCTCTTCAGCTTGCATCAACATCTGTTCGGCTTCTTCCGCATAGATCTCCTCTAATTCTCTCGCCTCTCTCTCGTCGTATGTCTCGTGGGCTTCAGACAACACATCATCGTAATTCGAGTCCTCTTCCCCATTTGCGATGGCCTCTGCGAGAGCCTCATCTTGGGCTGATGAAACATTTGAGACGACGAATAAAACCGAAACGACAGTGTTGTCTTCACCTTGGATGAAAGGATCATCTGCGATGTAATCGTTGTCATCGTCGTCCGATGAGCTCGAGTATTCTGAATTGGAATCGGCGTCAGAAGACACACTGTTCTCCTCGCTTGCATCTTCAGTCGATGCATCGTCACTCTCCTCTTTCATTTTGGTGGCGGTGAAGGTGGATTGAGTACCAGCTGGGCTCCTGTGAGAGGATTCAATTTTTGTTCACTGCTTAGAAGACGAAGGCGCGTCACCTCATTCGTCCGTTGATCGTCCTACCCAGTAATTTTCCAACATATTGAGTGGGAATAGCGATACGAGAAGGATCTCCTTTGATCAACATGAACTCCTCCCACTTCATAATGTCTTCATCGATCACGCCTCTGATCTTCGTCTGTCCATCTCCAATTGAACTCCATTGTATCACCCCGATATATCCTCTGTCTCTTCTCTCTGAAATATAAATATAAAATGGAACCTGATGGTATCACATCAGAATCATGCATCAACTGATTTAGAACACCATCCTAGACTATTTACCTTAACTCCAAATAAGTTTGTCTCAGCCTCCCAATATCCAATTAACTTTTCTGGATCATCAGACATCTCGACGAGCGACCGTTACGATTCGCAGTTATAGATGTGTCAGTGAGTTCTGTCGATGCTTACAGAGGAGCATCGTCAGCCTGTACCCGTCCGTCTTTGCTTGCGCCAAATATAACAGGTTGAACATCTACACCGAGCCAGTGTACGCGGAATTTGATTGACAGAGCATCAGGGCAAACATGGACCTCTTTCGAAAGATGCTTCCTCGTAAGAGAAAAAGATCGCAATTGTCTTTTACGAAGAACAAAGTTCAGCTCGTGGCAGACTGCTTCTGTGAGATGCATGTCTCAATGATATATTGACCTCTTCAGATGTGACCGACTCATTGTTGTTCTTCTCGATCCCAAGCGAGGAGTTTGTTCAGGTTCGGCTGATGTTTGGTAATGATTGACCGACATTTGTTAGACGGAAGATTCGGGCGACAGAAACCCTGGAAGACCTAATGGACCAATAATTTCTCTTCAGAAACAGTTGGATTCAGTTTCAAAGGATGACTATCGCATTTACAACTGGTAATGTCAGGCGCAATAATCCACCCCTCTAAATGATGTTAGTGCCACAGAATACCGATACGATCCCGCCATCTTCCATGGAAGAGGTAACTTGACGTCGTCGCATGCGTTCTGATTCGTTGAAGTCTCTGAGCATGGATTCGACTTGAACACGAACCCACCTTCTTTCGAAGCCATCGCTTCTTTCGTGCAAGACATTGTGAGACGAATTGGATATCATCGAATGATCTCACATGCATGCGTAGGGTGATTGGACAGCCGAGCCAGGGAAATATGCAGGTGAACACCTTATCTTTAATCAACCGAACACATCTGATCATTCATGCAGTCATCCATTGCACAGATGGTACCGTGAGTTGTCAGACATCGATCATCTCCCGAGATGACTCGAACAGCGATCGATGTTGATGGCATGCTGTCACTTACTCGCCAGTAAGAGGGCAGCAGACGTGGACAGCGCCATACAAGTCTTTCAGAATCGATATCTCAGCGACCAAGACAAATCACAGCACTCTGGGTGACCTTCGTTATCAGAGTCACCATCATCATCGCCTTCATCACTTCTCATCACGTTTGTGATTCTGTACACATGAGACGGAGATAAAATTCACCGATATTTCTTCGTGGCTGACGTCACAGCAGATTAGTCTCACTATCCCCCTCTTACAGGAGATATTTAACCTATTTTAATCACTATCTACAACTCCTTGACGATGAGAAGAATGACAAGCTGGTGGCTTCCATCTTTGATCATCCGAAGACGTACAGACTGCAGGTGAAATTCCACGAGATTTCACAGAAGATTCAAAGAAGAGTAGGAGATAAGAGTGTCTGCCCTTCCCTTCCTGGCGACTATGAATGCAAACGTGAGTGTACATCGTATACTTGAAAATCGTTTATTCTGTATTTTATTCTCTCGCAGGACACAATCGTAGAGAGTCGTACCGATACCGTCAAGAAAGGTGACTCGTTGTCAAATTCTCAGAAATTAAAACCTCTCAGAATTCTCTCACCCCAGCCGCAGGATATCGAAAGACAAGAGGAAAGCCGTAACGGTGATTTGAATTTCAAATCCTCCATCTGAGCGCCACAGATGTCGCCCAATCTCATACCCTCTACGGGCTTCAGCATCGAAACTGCGCTTCACGTGGCCCATCATCGTCAATCTACAACGCCAGAATCCAGCAGGACGATACACAGCGTGACGACCACCAGCACCATCACACCCCCCACCTCTTCAGAAGTCAACCAGGGGAGGTCGGTGTGGTTCTGTGTATCTAGATTGAATCGAACTCTCTTCTTCTCCGTCCCGTATCAAGACATGATCGACAACGTCCACATCGATCCGAGTGAGCCATGCACACGATGAAGAAGAGGAGGCTGACAAAGTCAAGGTGCCGGGAAAGCCTTAGAACCTCTCGTATTCAACTGCAACGACTCGTTAGTCAGCGGAGACATGCTGGTCGAATTCTTTGACAGCTCGTACGAGAATGTGAGTCCCCCTCACATTTCATCTTCCGACAAACAACTGGCTCTGTAGTTCAGTGGTAAAATACTACCTTAGGGTGGTAGTGCCTCGGGTTCGATTCCCGACAGAGCCCCTCTTTTTTTTTGTTTTTTTTCTCACGTTCTTTTCTGCAGGTTCTGTTTCGGTGCAGTTTCAATACCTTCTTTTTCGATAACCCACCCACGGAACAATATTCGGATGGAATGAAGGTCGAATTGGAATGGTTTATACGTCTCGCTGATGACATCAGGAGTTACGACACACGATCAATACCGTCGTGCCGCAGTATCCAGTGACCATTGGCAATACCATATCAGTCTTTCTCACTACGGCTGATTTGGATCTTCCTTTGGATAGGAAGCTTCCGCCTGACATCATCGTCGAGATCATCTTCAAGTCCATACAGGTGATGATCATCATCATCACTTGGATTCTTATAGACACTCGCCTTCTTTTTTCTGTTCCACTATCTTGCCCCACATTCACCATCATGATCACCATCAACCCGATCGATCACGATCACGATCAAGATCGTCATGGTGCCGCTCGTCGCTGAATTATCTCTAGAAACCAGAGGCCATACCCATAGCTAAGGTCCTCAGAGATCCATGCCTCCTCGTGTACTACCGGATGTACCTCATAGAAAATCAAGCACTGGAGAACCTTCTCTTCTGGGAGGAAGTACAACGGTACAAGTCCATGAGATTCTTCGTGGAAAATTCCGTGACCTTATCAGAAGGTGATCACGTGACTCGAAAATTCATCTGAAATTTCACAGAACAGATGGAAAAGGACAGGATCGAATTGATGGAAATCTGCAGTCGAATCTACTTCACGTTTTTCGACCCTGAGGCCAGGTGATCTACAACGCGTCACTCTTCCATCTACAACGCTCACATCTCCAGTATTGCGATTAACCTTCCCTCGCACATATTCCATAAAGTACGGAGGAAGTTGAGAGACATCTACACTGTCTTAGCCGTGGAGAATGAGAATAATCCATTCGCAACGGTGAGGGGATCCATTCAGATGGAGTCACTATTGATGCCCAAGAAACAATCGACGCAAGTTATATTGAGTGAGTCTGATGATCATCATCGTCTCATCATGATCATCGTGATCATCGTGATCATCACCATCATCACCATCATCACCATCATCACCATCATCACCATCATCACGGGTAGACGATATAGACATCATCTCCGCTCCCATGCGATGACGTGGAATTGCTGACGATCCATTCAGACCTTCAGAAAATGAGTGTCCATTCACCCCACACGAAGAGAGCCGCCCTCATGGTCACCCCCAGAGACTTCCAGACGGTAAAAATTGGCTCGTTGTAGATCGATGACCCCTCCTAGCTATTCGACGAGGCAGAGAAAGATGTGGTAGAGACCATGAGAGTCGATGTCTTCTCGCGGTGGTTGGGGTCACCCAGCTATGCCAAGGCTTACCAAGAGTACAAGGTGAAGGCGTTGCCACGTCATCCATCTGACGCCACACGTCAGTCGAGGCAGCAGGAGAGCGATGCGATTCGCAGATACGAGAGTTTGATCGACGAGAATCGAGCTAGGATGAGCGGTGTGGTGGATGGAAAGCAGACCATTGTCACTGGAGATATCATCGATTCAACTTCACCCATCAATCACGTGTCGCCCATCAAATCGACACAGCCTGGTATATACATACCACCGGGCAGCTTCACGAGGCCCATCAGCGTACGATACATCGATTACACTGAGCCCATCGACGATGTGACATCCATCAACGATGTGACATCAATCAACGGTGCAGCGGTGAAGGATGATGCGACCAGCGATCACGATGTTCCCCGCATCGACGATGCATCACAAATCAATCACGCATCGCCGGCCAACGGCACGAATCACATCGATGATGCACCTCCCATCATCCAGCCTGCATCTCATGTCACCCAAATGGATGTGCCCGACAGACCGACCATCAAGTCGCCCACACGAACGATCACCATCACCACCCCCTCCACCAGAACCCCTGAGGTGACTTTCTATTCCATTTCGATCCCCACACCCTCCCTCTTTTTTACACCCCTGACGACTTTTTCAGATGAACGGAACACCACCGAAATCGTTGATGGACTCGTGGGGAGGAGCGTCTCAATCGTCTTACACGTCGATGACTATGCAACTCGACGAACTGTTACAGCAGTGGTCCGAATATGACCCGCTGGCCTCGGTGTGTTTCGTTGCGATGAGACGTCACGTGACGTACTTCAGCCTAAGGTCTTGTCGCCCGAGAGCCGAAGTCCGAGGGAGAAGAGCGGAAGTCCGAGGGAGAAGATCGGAAGTCCGAACGTGAGAGCAAACAATGTGACAAGTCCATCTCTGCAGAAAGAATTGTTGAGAGAGAGATTTCAGAAGGTGAAGACTATCATTCTGACTATTTCATCTCGAAGTACACGAATGAATTGTTCGTTGTAGATGTCCAGTGACAACGGAGACAAGGAGGAATTGAACGGAGAGAGGATGGAGCCGATATCTCCTGGTCGACGCGATGTGATGGCTGCTCTGAGGCAGGCTCGGAATTCGAGGCATCTAGTTGCCACAGACAATCACATCAAGTGAATACTCTCTCTGACGATCACCATCATCACCATCATCAACATCATCATCTGGCTGCCGTGTCTGATGCGATCATCAGATGTGCCAAGTGCTATCAAGTCATTTCCTCTGGTAGCGGCCTCGGTGTATGCATCGACGAAAAGTGGTATCACACCGACTGTCTACAATGCATCAACTGTGGAGCCCCGCTCGGTGAACTTATCCAAGACTTTTCTCCATCTCACACGCTGACAGGTTCTTTATCTCCTGTCATGCGAGGCCGTAAGCCTTACTGTCCATCCTGCGGCAGCATAGAGGAATCTAGACGGAGAGAAGAAGATCAAGTGAGTTCTGGCGGGAGATTTGAAAATCAAACGATGCAGACTCTGGCCTCACTGGACTCGATCATCGGCGAGATCGAAAACTTGGGTATCTCACAAGCCAAGAGGGACGAGCTCATTGTGGGGGTGATGTGATCACGATCAGATGCAACGTTCTCATGCTCCATGACAGACACCTCCCCGTTCTCTCATCAAGAGTCCATCGGACCACAGATCAGGCAGTCCTTTCTTCCCAGAGTGCATCGCTTGCCAGAGAAGCATCACGTCTAAAGTGTGTCATGCTTCGATGAGATGGTGAGCTGATGGTGGACAGTTTGTGACGGAGGTCTTCGGAAGGAAGTGGCACACTGAATGCTTCATGTGCAGTCGATGTATGGGCATACCGGCTGGTGGCGCCGAGTTGGAGTACGACCCAATAGAGGGGAGACTCTTGTGTCACAACTGCATCGCCATCGATGAATTGTCGGAACATCGTGAGCATCATCGAAGATTAGACGGTCGGACATGATCTGAACGACGAACAGAGAGAGTGCTGGGAGATCAAGCTTTGGAAGAGTTGACGGCCGCTCTGGCATCTCCCGTGTTGAGATAAAGAGTGTCTGATGTCTTTTCTGTGTGCAGGGAAATTTTTTCTTCCTGCTCAAAGTTTTGCGAAAACGGATTGGACATTTCAGAGTCCATCCACGGGTGCAGCATCATCCATCATGAAGTTGCATCTTCTGCTCATACTGGCGCTTCTGACTGTTGCCTCCGCCTTGACCGATCAGCAGTGTCTTGAATTGAGAAACGATACACGTTATCTCGCAGAGGACGTCCTCGGTTGCTACAGGTGAGTCGAGATGATGGATGAAGGCTCACACCGTTTCAGGAAGGTTCCCCTGTCTGCACAAGAGAAAAGCGATACATTAGACAATCTAAAGAAGGTCCTGGAGTTCTATGTATTCAAAGAGGCCGTAAGAGATTCTCCTACACCTGGTCCCTTCATTCACATTAGGTGATCCACATCGGAAGACAATGACTCACCATCACATACAGAGTCCACATCGATGAGACGTTGGAAGATATCAGAAAATCGACCGCCTCCGACTCCATCGGTGCTTGGGACTTCTTCCAGATCATTCAAGACAAGATCTTCACTCCCTTGGCCGATGCCCACACATCCATCGAGAAACCAGCTTGCTTCTCTGGTGCTGTATACCAACCTTTCTCTCTGTCTGGAAAGATGGGTACAATCATCCCATTCTCAATCTCAAAATGACCATTTGCTCAGGGAGATCATCAAATGTTCGAGTCTTCGTGGCCTCTGTAGAAGATAACCCTCTGTACAAGGCAGTGTGGAATGTAGACGACCTGAAGCAGTACATCAACCAGGAGATCACACACATTGATGGCGTTCCCGCCTTCAAGGCCTTGTATAAACAAGCTCTACGCTTCCCCGAGCTATCTAAAGGTACATCTTCACATGCATTTCCCCACCATCATCTGACCATCTCAGACCCTTCGGTCAACTTCAACCAACAACTCCTCGGACACAGTTTCAGAGTAAGACCCACAAGAGGAGAGCAGGCTGACCTCCATCACTTTGCCGTCAACTACACGTTCGCCGATGGAAGATCTGCATTAGTCCCATGGGCTGCATCTCATCTGGGTTCTGTCGCTTACAACGACTGTCTCGCACCCACGAACCACTCGATTCAACAGTTGCTTGATGATCTTGGTCTCTTCCGTCTCAAGTCCTTCAAGGATGCCGAGGCAGAGAACACCACACAGATCCAAGTGAAGAATCTCATGCTTCGCGTCTAATCATCTCTTCGAATCACCCCATCATCCGATCTCGAATCATCACAAGAGCCCATCTCATCTCATCCTCTTCACATCTGAAACTCACCTCTCACCAGATGTTCGCTCTTCCCAACCATCCAGACGTGGTCGTTATGCGCGTAGAGGATTTCATGACAAACGTCACCGAACAAGTAGAACAGAAGATTCTCGCCTTCAACCAGTCTAAACTCCTCATCGACCTCAGAGACAACGGAGGAGGCATCGTCTGCGAAGGTTTCCATCTCATTGAACTGTTGACGGCTCATCCTCCCCCCATCCTCTATGACATGAGACAGTCACCGGGCCTCTCTGAGATCGTCGAGGCCTCCGCGAAGAACAACTCCTAGTGA